ACAGATTCTTCCGCTCCGCTCCGCTCCGCTCCGCTCCGCTTCGTTCCGCGTCTGTCCCTATACGGTATATGAGCCATACCATAACAGGATCTACATGCATTTGGGGTGTAGGGACCTAGATGTAATTGACCTTAACAATTTATAATTTCCTGTGATTGCAGTTTTTGTTATTTATCATTCTTCTATTTTTACTTCCATGTTACTTTCCTTGCCTGGGGTCTATAATTCCATCTTTTACATTTCTTCGAGTTATTTGATGACCTCCCGTTAATTTTCAAAACTTTAATGAAATTCCCATATGATATTTTGATATGCTTTTTCAAATTCAATACAGACGGAACATTTCAAGTTCATATATTGCGTTGAGAATTTGGTATTTAAGCACAAGTACAAGCAGTGGGAATCTTGCTTCCTGGAAACTGGGCTGAATTCAGAAGCTGTCTCTGATTGCTACAACAGCGGATATGGGAATAAGGTCACTGTTGTTAAATTTTCCTTTCTGTTTTTAAGTGGGAACTTCTTTGTGCGTATTTTCCTCGTGTTCCTTTTGAGTATTACATTCTTTGAAAAAGACTTGATTCTATTTGTATTGTCATTTCATGAAAAAAAAATGTATTGCGTCAGTTTTTCTGGAGAAAAAAAGGACATTTGTAAAATTTTGTTTCATTTTGAATTCATTGGAAAACTTGTTTATGCATGCGTTTATCTGGTTTCTTTTGCGGCATGTATTATCTGTTAGAAAATCATCGTCATCATCATCATCATCATCATCATCATCAACCTTATCCCAAAGATTTGGAGTCAGCTTAATGGAGCACAGATTCTTTAATCATTAGTAATATCCGGATAAGCCAACAAAGAGCGTATATTTTTTAATATCTCAAGAGAACGCCAAGAGGAAATTGTGCTGATCTTCAAACACATTAAGAAAATTTTGGAAAAAGCCGATGTGCTCATAGGCAATTCAAAATTATTTTTATATGGGTGACATGATTACATAAAGATTTGTTATAAATAAGTATGTCATTTAAAAATAGTAATACGAAGCATCACATATACGACTTTTGAACGTTCTTCATAGTTTTTTGAAAAGTAGCTGGTGCATTAGATAAATCAAATGACATAACAAAGAACTTGTAGTGGTCTTGGTGAGTGCGAAGCCAATTTAGGAATGTCAGAATCATTCATATGAATTTAATGAATTCGAGCACATAAATCTAGTTTTTAATGGTATGTGGCACCAAAGAATTCATCTAAGAGTTCGCTACCATGAGCATAGGAAAATGATGTACCACGATAAGCTAGTTTAGAGCTCGATGGTTTACATGAAAATATTAAGTAGCATCTTTTTTTTCACTATGGGTAATATTGGAAAAGAAAATAGACTATTGACTCAAACAAATGACATTGAAGTCGAGCATTTCTTTGACTAATTTTTTGATGAAATATTTTTTGAAATGCGAATAGCAATATCGTCAAACATTAATAGGTTTAGAGTTGAGTTGTAAGGTAATGTAATCGTTGATATCACACTGTGGGTTAGTGGTGTTGATCTAGTGAATACATCTAAATATTCAATCAAATGTTGAATCTGAGAACCATGAATATGATGATTATGAGAAACTAAAGTGGTTTCCTTATATGAATAAAAGATGAGCTTCCCATAAATGGGAATGTGATGCCTTTTTTTTGGGTTGGGGAAAATGAATTGGGGTGGACAATGGAGTTTGTAAATAAATAATAGAAGCTTTTAGAATGGTAAATGTTGAGTTGTAAGCCTTGAACGAGATGCGTTCTTGATTGAAGTTATGTCATTAATATCAATTTAGTCCTTGGATTTTGAAATAGAGAGTTTAATTTTGTCAGAGCGAAAACATGAAACTAATTATGGGACTGATTTCCATCTCTTTGCTCCTAATTCGAAGTTGGGGATGAGGCTTATTAGTAACAAAAATTGTTTATTTATCATCTTTTCACGGCTCCACACGAGAATGAAGAAGACTTGTTTATTTATCCATGGCCAATACAATCACTTATTTATAGGCGGTGACAACAATGCCTGAAGAAAGAGAAATAACATGCCTCTGGATTTCCCAAAAATATGTAAATAACAAGCTAGTGCTATTTTAATAGAACTGGATAGATATATAAAATACCTTTTTGCCAAACCGGCTGCTGGCGTAACGAGTTCTGCATGATTTCTTTAATTGGGTTGGCATCAGAGGAGATGTTGGAGTATTTAACGTTTTTTTTTCCTCAGATTTTTTGTTATTTGAGAACTTATGGATTTTTAATTTATAGCTTTTTCCGCTTCATATTTGTATCTACAACTGTTAGTTTATAACATCAGCATTGCCTTTTGATTTCTTATTTTTGCAGCCTTCTATTTAATTATTTTTTCAGATTTTGTGTTTTTTCAGAACTTATGGATGTTTAATTTACACTTCTTCCCCCTTTCATCTTTGTTCCATCGCTTTGTGATTTCTTATTTTTGCAGCCTTCTATTTAATTTTCTACACTTTGCATAACCTTTGTTGTTTTGCAGCTTCAAATATTCTGCTATACTATATATATATATATATATATAATTTTGAGTCCTGGGAGCATAAATAATTCTAATATGATTTAAAATTTGTTTTGGTAGCTTGAACTAAAGTATGCTGCACAAACTGATGCTCTGCAGCCTCCCCATACATATGTTCCTTGGGTGGTAGTGAATGGGCAGCCACTCTATGATGTAAGTTTCACTCCCATACTTCCAAACAAGTCGTATTAACATATATGGTCCAGTATCAATGAGCTTATTTTTATTTATTTTTGGGACATTCACATACATAGCAAACAATTCTTATGTATTTAGTATTTACATTTACATATCTAACTATCTAACTCCTAAAATTTAATATTTACATTCATAACACTCAAATTTTTAACATCACATCAAAAATATAATTTTTGCCAACTCTTTAGAAGTCAAATGTGCCTTTTTATGCACAGGTTTATAAAATCAAAGATATATATAAATGTAAATATAAGAGTTTAGGTAGGTATTAGATATGTAAATCCATAAAAATTGTGTGGTACCAATGTAAATTTTCCTTTATTTTATTTTATTTTGTTTTATTTTTTTATTTCAAAAGCCTGATCTATAAATATATTCCTATGTATTTACATATCTATAAACTTCACCAAAGTCGTATCATCACGTAGGGACTTTTACATACATATCACCCAATTCATTTCTATTTACATATCTAACACCTAAACTGTTTCTCTTAAATTTGGACCACCCAGGTCTTTCACATCACATCACAATTACAACCATTTTCACTTTTAAAAAGTGAAAAACACATTTTTAAGGTGGTATGTACGCAGAAGTTGAAGTTTAGGTGCTACATATATAAATACATAGGAATTGAGTGGTATTTATGTAAAAATATTATATATATATATATATATATATATAGTCCAGTATGATGAACTTATTATTATTTTTATTTTAAATGGCATGATCTATAAACATCTTGCAGGATTATGAAAACTTTGAAGTTTATATATGCAATGCTTACGAGGGCAATTCTCCCCCAAAATCCTGCAATGGGCTGACAGGACTCACAACAAAGGCGGCAGGCTGGGCGCAGCATGTGAGCTTTGTTGATGAAGTATTTTGGTTTAATGATCATCAAGTTACAGCCGCAGCATGATATAAGTATGCAAAACCTGAATTACAAATATGTCCTGAACTTGCTGTGTTTTCTGCACACATCTGATGAGCTATTTGAGTGAAACACAGCTATGGCTTACAGTTTGTTTCTATTTACACTGATCAACAACGTGACTGTTTCGGATGAAATAGCAAAGCAGCGCAGAACATTTAATTACAATAAATTAGGTGTAGTGGTGGTAAGCCCAAAGCTAGAACTCAAATTATAGAATGTACAAAATTATCAGTTGAATTTAACAAGATTTCTGAACTAAAATGTTAAAAAAATGTCTATTTTTTATGTAATTACCTCTTTTAATTGCAGACTGTTTATTTAAGTCCATTAAAAATATATATAATTTGAACAAAATTTGAGCATTATTCAAATAAGTTGTAATATAACAATTATAATATATCAAGGTGCAAGTTTGATATTAAAAGTGCAATTATAATAGCTATAATATAATAGATAATATGTTAATATTATAAATTATTCAGTAAATGTTGCTCCTGTTCATTGAATGATATATAAGAGCAACATTGGCCTAACCCCATAACTTCTTTTCATCTTCAATAGAGGAATGGTATGACCAATAATAAAGTCTTTATAGTTACGACGAAGTCTTCCTTACTATCTATCTTCTTTCTACTTCTTTGTATTGTTGTGTTCATCACGACTCATTTTTAATATATATTCTACACCATTATTCTCTTTTACTTTTATCCATCCAAGGCATTATTTGCATTTTGGGATGGCTTCGTAAGTTAATGTTGTAATGTGATGTTATAGTTGATGATTATATGATAAGTTGAAGCAATTTTTTAAAAAGAATGATCTCATAGCATATCATATTCTTATTTATCCCTTTCATAGAGGGGATGCTGTAGTTAGTGTCCGATATTTGCATTGGATTTGCGGCCGTAAAGCGAAGAATAATATTTGCGTCGGATTTTGCATCCAATTTTCGTCTGGAAATTCGACGGAAAAAACACTATGAAATAGGTGAGAGTGTATTTGGAATTATAACGGAATCAGCGTCGAATTTGCGTCTAACTAACCGATGCAAAAACTTTATTTGTTAGCATCGATATAAATCCAATACAAATGACCAAATTTATTCATCTCGTGCTCTAAATTTCACTTCTTTCTCTTCGCACTCTCTGTCTTCCCCTCTGCCCGAAACCCTCGCTCTTTCCTTTCCCTCTTCCCCTTTCTCGCCCTCAAGGTTTTGGCCGAAACCCCCGTTCTCCCTTACAGTTTCCCTCTCCCCTTTCCTTGCTTTCCCAAATGTCCCTTCGCGATACAACCGCCATTAGAGCTAGCTGGGAAGGTAAACAAAGACTATCAAAAGTTTCATATTTCTCATCCTTCTGCTTCGCTCCAATAAGAGTACATTGAGGAAAGTAATTCTTTTTGCACCAATCTTTTTCATTTTAATTTTTGACAAGTGAAATGAGCCTTTTTGCATAGGTAATGTGTTGTGCATGTACAAATTGAAGTTTAGGTGTTAGGTTTGTATATACATAAGAGTTCAGTGGTATGCATGTAAATATTACAGTTTAGGTGTTAGGTTTGTACATACATAAGACTTGAGTTATATATATGAATCCAAGTGAGTGAGTGATCTAAAAGCTTGTTGGATTCTATGCGTCATCAATCTCCATAAGAAAAGCATTTGATCATAGAGATTCACATCGAGGCACAATGAGGTTGAGGAGTTTCCACTGCATTTTTACAAAGGCAAGTTTCATTAATTGCCGGAGTTGAAGTAATCTGAAGCCTGGTAGATGTCTACAAATTATCAAATCAAAAGATCCATTTTCAAAAAATTCAAAATGTGGAATGATCCTATGAACCCTCTAAAAAATTCCTTATAATTCTTATCAACCTCTTTGCCATGTAGTTTAGTTCCATACTGTAGACAAAATATTGAATTTTCTTTGGGACAAAGCTCTCCTTTTCATCATAGCAATCTATTGCTTCGTTGGGTGACACAAAAATCTTTCTAGCAGGAATAAACAAAGAACAAGAATTTAAAAGAAAGAAAGAAAAATGCATAGAGATAAGCTTTAAGGTTTCCATTATCTGATTCAAGTAATAATCCTTCTACATAAGAAATCTTTCTAGCAAGATGAATGGGAAAGAATATATGTGTCAGACACTTCCTCCAACCCTTTATTTATTTGCAAGGAAATCCTCACTTATTAATGAAAATCATAATACCTTAATAAAATTATCATTTTCATTATTTATAGACTAAGATTCTTATAAAATAAAGGCAAAATCGTTGTTTATATATGAGTTAAGTAATAAAAGCGTCGACTTTTCTGTTAGTTAAAATAAAAAGTTAAGTAATAAGAATCATGTAATATGTATGAATTAAATGCATAGGTTTTTATTTTCATTTTATACATAGTTATGATATGTTTGTTGTTTAGATTTTGCATATTCCTTCTTTTGCTATTAATCCTGCTACGGATGACCATAGGTGGTGTTGGTGAGTAGTCAACTCAGCGACTGCTTGCTCTTCACACTATAATGAATATTTACAAGAGCAGAAAGAAGAGCAAGACTTCCTCCATACCTGTTGGTATCATCCCACCTACTGCTGCTGCCGCCACACCTGAGCTTTCTATTGGTTGTCTTTTATAAAAAATTAAAATTTTCACATTTATTTTGACTCTTAATGTTTAAAATGATAATTAATAATTGTCTTTTATTCTTTACGAGGAGTACGAGCAGTACCAAGAGAGGTAGTTGGCCTCTTAGACCTCGAACACTACTAGTATTAATGATAGTCAGTCTAGCACTACGAAGTTTAAGTTTGAGCTATGGACGCATGCGACGGAGAAGAAGAAGGTCGAAATCTCTTGTGCTCCTATGAGTGGCACGAGCTCGTCACACCTGAATACTGTGGAGTTTGCCAGATAGGTCGTTGCTATGACTCAAGAGGTTTGCCATATACGTGAATGCCAACAGAGAAATGAGTGAAGTATAAGATGCCTGATAAAGATTATGTAAGATCGCTATGGCAAGCGAATGGTGACTGCGATAGTCGAGGAGGAGGATGAAGAGGATGGATAGGAGTTTTATGTATTTTTAATTTCTGAAATGTTTGAACTATATTAAGAGTGTAGATGTAAAATTTTGAAAATTTAGAATTGTGAAAATATCTTCATTTTCGTTGTTGATATTTTTAATTTTTAAGACATTTGATCTGTGATATGACTGTTGTGAAATGTCTTAGATGTTGTGTGCAAGGTGTTGAAATGTAATTGATATTTTGAATTTTTTTTTTCTATATCTGAGTTTTGTATTGGATTTGTAACCATTTTGCTTCCAAAAATCCAACGCATCGCTCATCGACATTACCCACCGCAAATTCGATGCTAATTCGACGATATTATTTATCGTCCAATGTTTTCGGATGCAAAATTTGACGCAGGTGAAGTATGATGTTGTGACGCAAAACCGACACTAAATATTTGCGTCAGAATATTTCAGCGCAAAAATTGATGAAATTAACATTACCGACCCTCAAATTACCCGTGAAAAATATTGGACGTAAATATGACGCAAACCTGATGATAATCCTCAAATATTGTCGGATTTACATTCGATTAGCGTCCGATTTGACCGACACAAATTTGCTAATGTCCTATAGTGTCTCCTTTGATAACCCACCCTATTTGCATCCAAAGAATACATTATCTTCCTTAAGCATACCAAACATCTAAATAACAATGATATTATGCATATTATAATCGAGCACAACACCATCTATAATGTAACATATCTAAATCTTATGCTCTTATCTCTAATATCGGACACAACTGAAATCATTAGTTATCCTCATTGTCAACCATCCTTAAATTAAGTAACAAATAAGGGCTCTAGTTAACAACAAATCATGAGGTTCGAAGAGCTGCTTAAAGAGTTTCCCGTACATTTAAATGCCTCAAATCATCTAATGATAGCATCCATTACAACTTCAATTTTGTTTGTGGCACTAACACCATATTGTATCTCCATACATATTATTACATTATTATCAAGCTTACATTGCAATGCATCTTAAATGAATTAAATTCATATAATATAATGTTGACAAAATAAAAATTATAATCATGTTAGGTTTTAAAAATTTATATTTATTTTAATAAAAAAATATAATTTAAAAACAAATTTTTATTAAAAATATGCTTAAAAAAATTATGAATTTTATTTTGTGTAATTTTAAGTCAGAATATTTTAACCCCAACTTCTATTACGTACCAATACTCTAATCATTGAAATTTAGGATCCGTACCCTGCCTCGGATCCCCGTGTCGGCGACCGAGTTGACACCGAGTCAATGTAATCATCGGCTCGGTGGTTGTGGGCCCGTCTCAGCTCTCACGTACTAGAAACTCACGTGAATTCCTCTCGCCGCGTCGAAAGACGAACAAGCCCCTCGCATCTTATAGAATTTACATTGCCGCTTTCCTCCGATCCGGGGAGCTGGCGATTTGAATTGCAGAGTTGCCGATTTTGGAAATTTGACTGCAAAAAACTAATTATAAAAATAAATTTAAGCTATGTATTTACATATCTCACCCCTATACTTTCATATTTTCACATTTAACATTCTATCACATTAAAAAAAAAATATTATAACTTTTATAAATGTGTAATACACCTCTTAAAGCATAGATTTAAAACATCAAAGTGTTATGTACGTAAATATGAATGTTTAGATGCGAGATTTGTAAAATATGTAAAAATATAATTATAATAAGTTTCAAAATTTATAGTTATTTGGCAGTACATATAATATTAAAAACTAATTATTTATTTATACATTATTATATTTCGCATAAAAAAATTAATTAGAATATTTTTTATCTAATTTTATTTTGGAAATAAATAATTAAAATATTTACGATCCACACCCTTCCTCGGATCCATGTGTCGGCGACCGAGTTTACAACGAGTCAATAGAATTAACGGCTCGGTGGTTGTGGGCCAGCCTCACGTGAACTCCGGTTAGCCAACCTCCTGCTCTGTGTCGCCGTGCTAAAAGACGAAAAACTCCCTGCAATCTTCACGAATTTACTTTTGTCGAATTGCAGCACCATGCCCCTTATGATTTATTTATTTATTAACAAATAGAAAGACACTTCAAGTTTTACATATAAGCCACTTTAACCATGTATGAATTTGAAGTTAAAGGAGTGGTTTTACTTATGTGATATAAAAATTTGGGTGGTAGAAATGTAAACAAATGAAGTTTAGAT